TTGACTCTCTAATAGACTCTCTGATACCTTAGGGATTGCATGCATGGAACTGCGAGTGATTCGCAATTGAGAAATAGGTTCTCTCCACGAAAGAAAAGAATCGTGGAGTCGTCAGGACGTAACAGTATAATAGCACAATTTGCGGCTAGCGGCAGCGACTTTTTTCTCGCTCAATGGATTAATATAGAGGAAAACTATGTAAGTACATCACTACGTGTATAATAAATAATATATTTATTATTTAGTTATTACATCACTTTCAATTCTAGTTTTGCTCAAAATTGTTTCTAAAGGTTGTGCCAGTTTTAACTATAATATTATACACAAAGAATTTGAATGAGCAATTATTATTACCGTGGAAAAAGTTCAAATTTGTAATTTAATTCTCATAAATAAAAGCAAAATTTTTCCTTAAAATTAAAATACGAAATTTTCAAGAGGGAGAAGTTTTATTTTTAAAAACGTGAATAAAACAAGATCTACAAGAAAGTCTCTACAGATTCTTTTGCATATTGATTATATAGGAATTATTAATTATATATTGGGTCATCTAAAAAGTAACCGTTTTTTGTTCAATTTTTGAATGAAATTTTTCAAATGATTCCAAACTGTCGCATGGTTGATTGTCAGTGCATTGGCTATCTCCTGACAACTCATATGCCGGTCTTGCTCGACCAGTTGCAAAATTTCATCGACTTTTTCAGTGACTGGCCGACCAGAGCGAGATCGATCTTTGACATCAAAATTTCCAGAAAGAAATCGAACAAACCACTCCTGCGTCCTGCGTTTACTTACAGCTTCCACGCCGTAAACTTCACTAATTTTTCTGCATGTTTGTGATGCGTTTTTGCCTTTTTTGTAGTAAAAAAGCATCACATATGGCGAATTCGATTGATATGCACTCACTCGATGTTGCTCGATGCCAGTGGCTAGTAACTTTTGCACTAGTACCGATACGGTGTGGTGTATGCGATCCGAGTGTGGTTTTACTTGCCTTGATTCGGATCCAGTGCTCCTAGTAACTTGACTCTCGCACTGCCCCGAATCAATGCTAATCATTACACTGCTCTGAATCAGTGCTAACCAATTCGATTGGCCTCACTTCAGAACAAAGAGTTCGGCTACAAAAACGGTATCGTTTGCGAATTCGATTACGAAACGGTAAGTTATATTAATGAATTACATGTATTTTTATTTTTACCTAAATACCGATATATCTTACATGAAATTGTTAATTGTTAA